AAGATGAATCAGTAATGTTTTAAATTGTAAACGATCGAGTAGTTTCGGGTTTCGTCTACCAAGGCATGAAGGGGTCTTATGAGAACTGACCGATTAGATTAGGAACAAATAAGAAGCTAGTTGTTGTTGACCGATAAGATAAGATGAGATAGATCGTTGGTAACGGTTTTATAATGGTATTCGAGAAGAAGATGAAATAAGAAAGGATGAGATTTATGTTTTTTGAGAATATTGTCAACGGTCAAATGAAGTGAATGATAAGTTTGAGATCATATACTAACATATTCTCATTTGTACGTGGTGGATCGAGATTGTTTGATGATGATGATGGTAATGGTGAGTTTTCCATCGTTTGTGCTTGATTTGTTGATTTATTTTTTTTGTTGGTAATTGATGAATTGGTTGATTGATGGTTTAGTGGTCTTGATGAGGGTGAGTGAGGTAAAGAGAGGGAGGGGGACAGGTAAACGAGGGATGAACAAGACGGTTTGGTGTGTGGTATGTAAAGATGTACAAAAAGCTTCCGAAAACATAACCAAAGTGTGAACTTAAACAAACCTAATCGATCATCCACACAAACAAGCACCCAAGTCATTCAAACTTATTTTAGGAGTTGGTAAAAGTATTCCATTGTGCCCATCTCAGAAAGGGGAAACCTTTGGCACTATTGAGTTCACCCCTTAAAGAAACACATAAAAACAAAAGCACTCCTCTTTTTTTATTGGGATATTGATTTACTCAGGTTGCACACATCTTGGTCATTACTGTAGAGAATCTTTAATTTTCATTTTCAATCACATATGTACATTATAGTCAAAGTTGATTTTCTATTTTGTTTTGTTTTTGTAGCTTCACACCCTTGTTCCAATAGTCTGTCCTTCCGACCTTTTATATTTTCACTCTTTTCCACTTTCATTGGTTATAACAAAACAAACTTTCAGCTATTAAAACATATCACAAAGATATATATAAAAAAAGACTTCAAAACCTCAACTCCTGGTTCACCATCTATTTTCCTCAAAAAAAAAAAAAAGCAGTTCTATTGAAAATCAATTTGCTAAACTGTAAAGCTTCATTTCTTCCTCTGTTCCTTAACTGTTAATGCGATCGTATCACCACTCTTCAAGTTTAATGAAGCCAATGTAACTTGTACAGGTAAGATTTTATTATTTAACCTTAACTGTTGTCTACCAGTAGGTATACCTTTTAAAGCCTAACCAAAACCGTTAAAAAATAAATAAATAAAATGAGACGTTAAATTCTGATGATAAAAAGAACAAAAATCAAAAGACAAGATTGGCTTACCGAAAGTTTATCTCTGAGTACACCAACCAAGAGTGTGATAGGTAATTCCTCAAGAATGATCTCTGTTCCATCGCATCCCCATTCAGGTTTGTCATTATAAATAGGTAATTTAATAGTAATAGAAATAGGTTCAGGATGCATTTCTATCCACTGTTCTTCAGTAAAAAGTTCTTCAACTTTTTGTCGTTTAGCTACTGGTTCATCTTCTGTTAACGTTGGTTCAGGTAAAGGTCTCGTCGTACCTGTGATATTGTCAATAGCTATTTGAGCTTCTAATGGAGTTAGTGTAGGACCTGGTATACCGGCTCCAAATTCAGGTACATTAGGTCGACCGGGTAGACCTACGACAGGTGCTGGTACAGAGGGTGGTGGGATACCAGCGGGGATTATACCGTTCGCACCTGTTTCGTCCGTAGAGGTTGGGGCGAGCACAGGCGGGGGTACACCAAGAGGGTGAGGTGGGGGACCACCAAGAACGTGAGGGGGAGGCGCGCCGAGAACATGAGGTGGTGGGGGGATGCCTCCTGAGATCATCGCTGCCCGACCAGGATCGATGAGAGGTGGGCGTGCTGAAAGAGGCTGAGGGGCAGCAGATAGAGTGGCACCTCCCCCAAATGACGGTTGTTGATGGGCAGGAATTGGCTCACCTGAGCCAGTGAGACCGTTGGTGATGTTTTGAATGTGTTGTTGGATCTGTTGCTGTTGAAGAGCGAGCTGCTGTTGCTGCTGGATCAAAGCTTGCTTGGTCTGCTGGGGTGGAGGCGGAGGCGGCATGGCACCAGGAAGGGGACCAATCTGTGGCCCAGAGTGAATCGACTCGCCCGTGAGACCTTTGGATCGATGAAGCGCCTGGATCTGCTCATCGAGGTTAGCTCCTGTCTGATAAATGTTGGTGATCCGTTCACCGGTGTTGATATGACCGTCCCATGTATATTTCTCTTTTGCGAGCTGCTTGAGTTTCTTCTGTTCAGCTTCACGTCGCTGCTTCTCTTCTTCTGTCACATTCTCCTCAAAGATATCTAATCGAGACTTGGCCAGGTCTCGAAGGGAGGACGAAACATCGGAACCAAGCGTAAGCATATTCGAAGAACTTCGATTCAGTTCAGTCTTCTGTTTCTTCTCCTTCCATCGAGGGTCCAAGAGCTCGATCCGAACGTGCTCCGAGATTTCGTTGACATTAATCTGTTGACCACAGATCTGACAGAGCGTGGTGATCACCTTCACGTTTTGGGCTTGCTGCTGAGCTGTCTGAAGCTGTTTGTTCTTTGGTACATAATCCTTCCGGATCTTCATTCCTGTCGTGTTAAGCTTCTTAATCTCTGCTACTTGTTTGTTCTCGGCTTTGTGATCCTCCTCCTCCTCCCCTTCTTGCCCATTTGCTTGAGCTTCAGCCGCTGCCTGTGCCTTGGCTTCCTCAGCTGATCGCTTCGCCTCTGCAAGCATCTCGTTAGCCTCTTGCTCATTCGCTGCGCTTGACCCATTCAATTGCTCCTCGTCGATCGTTCCCAAGTCCTTACCCTCCATCACCATTGCTGCCATCTTTTTCTGTGCGATCGTCATATTTTCTACCTCACTGATACTCATCGGCGGCGGAAGATCGATCACCTCATCCGACTCTGTGAACTCGACCGTGCTCACAACAATAAAATCTTCCCAATCGATCTCGTTGAACTCTCGCTTCTCCTTCTCCTCCTCGCTCGTCTTCTTCTTTAGCTCTAGACCTTTGTAGCGCTCCCACTTGATCCGGCTCTCAACCTCTGTTTGAACCTCTCGCTTTCCAACAATTGTGCGCTGTTTGCGAACTTCGACCGCTTGCGAGACACTCAAAGCCTTCGCGTCTAGAGCCTTTCCGCCAGCAAGCCGTTCGAGGCGTTCGATAGACTCGGGCGTGGGTATTAATACTCGAGTATACTGCTCGACGAGCCGATTAAAGAATCCGAACAGCGAGTGCGCCGGCCTTAGGAAATCAAATTGATAATTCCTACTCTCACGCGCACTGAGGTCTGAGACAAACTTGCGACCGAGCCTAGCTGTAAAGAGCGCAGTGAGTTTAATGATCTCAAGATCGACCGAGTTGATCTTGGGCATCTGTCCAGGCTCGATCAAGAACTGAAGCGACGTAGGTTCGGGAGGCTTGTCAGGGTCTGATTGTGCGGGAGCGGAGGATGAGGCGCCATTAGGAGCCGTTGACGAAGGCTGAGGGACGATCGCCGTGCCGCTCTTAATGCTTTGTATCTGATGGCGATAGTAAGCATGGTAGGCGTCATCGGGATTGAGGAACGAGAACCGATCATCAGACTTTTCTCGCTGACGGATTTTATCCTCAACTGAATGTCAACCAAAAAAAAAAAAACGCTTTCAGTCACTGATCATTCTGAAACCATTTTTTTTTTCTTGAGGAGTTACTTTGAACTCACAAAGTTGAGGGTTGGAATTCTTGGCAATGAACCCCGCTGTCTTATCGACAATGGCTGAAAGGCAGGAGAAAGAAAAGATCAGAGAGTTTGAAAAGTGAGGCGTGTGTTGTTACTGAGAGCTATCCGACTGACTTCTGATCTCGGGTGGAGGGTAGATCAAGCCTTCGAGGTATTTATCAGATTCGATGAGCTCGTTAGGCGCTTGATCGGCTTCCTCTACTTCGGGCGCGGCAGTAGTTTCGACCTCCATCTCAGGGGTGGGTTTAGGATCGGATGCGTCATTTGGGGTGACATGTTCACTGAGCGGTTGGTCATCCTGACATGTGCTCTCGTTGGATTGGTCCATGGTCGTGTCGTGTTGGTTGAAATTGTTTTCATGCTTGAAGCGGTCACCTGCACGAGTTTCTTTCAGTGGCTTGATTTTGGACATCTCTGTGACAGGCTCGTGATGGTGCGTCGGATGGGCTTGTGATACAGGTAGTACCGTGACCCTCGGTACTTGCGACTCGTTACAGCTTAGAACTGGAGCATGCATGCTTACGCCCTAGGGCGTGCAAGGGACAAAGTGGCTTTCAAATAAAGAGATGAAAAAATTCTCAAAACTTTAGGCGAGCTTGGTGACATCCTGTACCAGCTTCCCAGGGCTTTGATCATATTATCTTCTATGTGGCTAGTGTCGTCACACAGTAGATTTTTCAAACATGCTCTGTATGTTACAGAATCTACAGCATGAGGGCTTTTAAAACCTGCAAAAAAAAAAAAAAAAAAAATCCCAAAGATCAGGGAACCAAATAAAGATATAAACAGTCTTCCCTAATTTTTTTTTTTTTTTTTTTTTTTTTTTTTTTTTTTTTTTTTTTTTTTTTGAAAATAGCCGGTACCAAATATATAACTCCTTAGTACATGAGGAGAAAATCTTAGTTTGATAGAAAGACCCACTGAGAACCAAGTTTTGGACTTGATACTCAAGTTTTTGGAAACATAGATTAGGAAGAAACATATACTCCCAAATAATTCAGTTTTGTAGTACTACGGAATATTAAGAAATGAATCAATAGCTTCTCTATTCAAATTTTCTCTTTCTGAATTTTTCTTTTTCTCAAACCACCAAAGAGTGGTCTCTGTAGCAGATTTAAGCTTTTTGATGTGTTTTTTTTTTGATACATTTTGCGTCAATGCATGTCTCATTATCTAGATAGTACTCCTGCCTTGCTAGTGAGTGCCAATTTAAGATCCAATTTATTACAAATATTTTAGAATTTTCCGCTCGCGTGCATGGTCTCCGTGGCGCAATTGGTTAGCGCGTCTGACTGTTACTTGGCATCATCAGGAGGTTGACAGTTCAATCCTGTCCGGGGACGTTAATTTTGTCCACTTCCTTTTTTTTTGCGTACTTGATTACAAAGAAATCATGTTTTGCTCTGTCCTGCACTAACCTCAAGGTGACTACTGGACATGGCATCCTTCAGTTGGGGGTCTTGGCAAGGCGTTTTGTTATGTCAGAGTCTACTTGCGATTTTTTACTTACAGGATCAAAATCAGAAGGTGAAATGAAGGGGTTTCAGTGCCTTTTGTCATTGAGCATCGAAGTTGGTTTTTCAAAGGGTAGCAGCTACACTATCAAGAGCCTGTAATCTGTGGTAGGTTCATCCATCACTGTAGTGCCGCTCACCCTGCTAGATCATTACAGAAAGCCAAATAAATGACATGGTTTAAAACAACAGGCTCTTCAGTGGGAATTCTATATATATATGTTAGTGAGAAATTCACAGATAGTCAAGATACTTGTCTGGGTTCGGCCAATGACAGGTGTATGACGCGCATTCCTATCAAATCCAACACTATCATGACAAAACCAATGGAGGAGTTCTTAGGTCAAACTTTTATTTTCTTCTCTCTACAATAGTTTCCATTCGATCGTGAAACTGGACTTTTATTGCTTAAGGTGTGGCACAGGTCTATGTAGACGCGGCAATGCAGAGCTGCTTACCTGATCAGACTATATACGAGCGTGCGCGAGTAGATATGTGGCAGAGCAGCCATACTTCAAAGTTCTGGATAATTATACGAACTTTTACAAAATCTAGTTTTGGACCCCACCATTGCATTCGTTGATCACATTGGTTTTTGTACTGCATCCCTGGAAGGGCACTCGCATAAGAGAATTGATTTTTGTTGGATCCATAGCCCCGTTAGCTTGTCAGATTGACTTGTTGAGGAAGGATCAGAATTAACTTGGGCAGGGTTTTTACCTGCACCACAGCTTGCACAAGGTGACAGTCTCACAAGTAATCAGGGACATTACAAAGGTCTTCTTCATATGTAAAATTAATAACATAGCGAAGCTCATACATCACCTTTGTTTGCTCACCAGAAAAAACCATGCAAACCTCATAAGCTAAGGGCTCCATAAATGAATAGCGGGGCCAGGACTTGTGTGGAATGTTCCCATAATCCATGCAAAGAAGAAGAGCTATAAAAGCGGACTAATTTCATTTTGTATTTTTTGTTTTTTTGCTTTTTTCTATGCAAAAGTTTCTACAAGTTTTTTCAAGAAATTTCTTTGAATTTCTTCTTCTTCTTCCAAGGATCAATCAAAGAATGGTAGGACTTTTAAAAAAAATCAAAAAAAAATCCAACATGCTCTTCCTGAATCTTAACAATTCCCTTCAGCTTGCACAACTTTATGTGCTTCGATTTTCACCTCTGGAATTGTAACTACTCTACCATTAGAACAAGTAACTCTAACATTAGCATTCTCTACTACAGATGGTCTAATTTCTCCTTCTTCAAATTCCCAATAATTATACCTTTTCCTATATATAGGATACCATTTTTCTTCAACCTCTACTTCAACATTTATCACAGTGTTGAAAGTATTTGCAACTTGTAATGAGAGATACCATTTAGATGCACCATCTTTACCAATTATAAGCATCTTAGAATCCTTTGGAAGTGGACATGGGACTACCTCCCTGTAAATATCAGATAATTCAAATGCAGAGAGAGATGTTAGAATCTTACTCTAATAGAATGGTAAACGCGTCAAAAGTTTTTTTTTATCATACCAATCAAAACGTGATAATCCCGAACGACCAGGCTGGGTACCCATAATCTTATCGTAAAGGTCCTGCGACATGTCTATTGCATTGGCAGGGCACTATTTCGATTAATACCGCACAAGAGAAATGACCTTTAGCTACTTTGAGAACGAAAAAAAAAAAAAAAACGGGGACAGGTTGTAATGATAATAAAGTAGTATACGTACATCCACACATTCACTGTTGACAATTCCAATTGCTGACTTTTGGTTGTCACGTGATGTGATTTGAAAGCATGTGCCACAATATATACCTGATTGATAAAGATTGGTCGCCACTGCAAAATATGGTAGGTCTTTAGGTTGAGACCAATCTTGAAAAAGACAACTTGAGATCAACAGAAAAAAAAAAATAACAACAACAACAACAATTGAAATATGATGATGAGTATATAATGAAGTGTTCTGATTGTAGATCAGATTACGTACCCCTGAATCCATGTTGCTCCTTGCCAAAAAGTTCCTTGCTCATTCGAACTCGCCTCTTTTAGAACTGGTCTAGCCAACTCCCGAGTTTTTAAAGTGTTAGTGAAGGACTTTGTAGATGAGGATTGCTCAGCAGAAGTAGCTGATGAGCTTTTCAACATCATAAGATAAACCGCGACTAGCGCAGAACTACTGATTGTGAGTTTCATGTTGAGCCCAAATTTGATTTGAAAAAATTGAAAGATGTTAAGAGTCGAGCAAGATGAAGAGTTTCAGATTGCTTGAAATGAAATAGATCAAGAAACCCTATCGAAGGGTATTTTTTTTAAAAAAAAGAAGGGAAAAAATTTGAAAAAATTGAAAGTAAGATATGGTAAGAAGTAAACTTGATCTCAAGCAAAGTTTCAAGAGTGAAGGTTGTTGTTAACGAATGAGAAAATTCGGCATGTGCTCGATAATAAGGGGTCACATCTGACACTCTGAATACTTTCAGGGAAAGGCTGCGAATGTGAATTCTCAATGTAACAGAAGCAATTCCGGGTCCTTGAATTGCGCTGTTGTCACCAGGCTACGGTGGCACTACCTCTCTGAGAACTGACCTGTTCACTTGATTCAAAAATACTACAAAAATATGTTTGTATTGGGAAGGTCATTTTTTTTTTTTGGAATTGAGTAGATTGTGGGGGAAATTTTCATCGAGTCGATCAAGTTGCGATAGACTTGGTCAGACATGGTGTGATCATCCACATGCAGTAAGTATAATATTTACATCTTCAAAGAAGTGAATTTATTGAACGTAAGTTTAGTCGGAGCTGTAAGCATAGAGCTCAGTGAAAGCCGACACGTTGTTTGTACTGTTGTAAACCGGCGGTCTACTGTGCTCCGCAGCATGACCGCGGCGCGTCCAGTCACCTAAACGGGCAACGGCACCCGCTCCCGGAATCTTCCATGTCTTTCCGTTGGGCGATTCCGGGTGCTTACCCTTGGGGGCCGAGCGAAAATAAATGTCCCTTCTGAGAGATTTTTTTTTTTTCATTCGGGCGGGGCATTATCCGAACCCGACTTGGACCTACGTGGAATCGTCAAATCAACAGCCAGCCGTCCTATCCTCCTTTTCTGGCACCTCACATTCACATCCCTTCACCGCACCTCACCAGCATGTTACCCAACTGCAATGCAAGCACCTCAAAGACCCTGATCAACCAAGCCAGAAACATCTCTCACCCTTACCTTCAAGCCCAAGCTCAACCCACTACATTGGTTATCTATTATAAAAGCACTTGGAAACAATTTAAAAACATTGATTCGATTTTTTTATAGTGTGATCATCATTTATATATATTTCATTTCATTTCACACTGAAAGGCATAAGGAATTTTCTTACTTTTTTTTTCTTATCATCAACTTTAAGGAAAAATGTTTAATATTTTTTTTTTATCTTTTGACCCTCTTAGCAAAGAACATTTGCCTTGAGTCCCATTTTTTTTTTATGTATTTTTAAATACTATTTTTTTCACAATTATGAGCCTTTTGAAATAAAAAAAGCAAACATTTTTTAAATTGGAAATAAAGAAAAAAGCATTGCAAAAACAGTACAAATATAACAAGTTCCCAGAGAACGTTTTTCAATTTGAAAAAAAAGAGTGTTACAAAAAAAACACACAAGTAAAACGAGTTCCAAGGCCTCTTCACTTGCTGTTTAGAGCAATTTTAGAGCGCACCCAAGGCCATCTAATTGCTTCCGATAATGTCAAAAAGGATTCCGCATTCTTTTCATCTTCAAACACCTGAACAGCTTAAGATTGAAATTGAGAGATATTCATATCATTTTTGACTGCAATTGAAACCTCCCATGGATGATCATTCTTGTAAGTCGTATAGTTTCCAGAGGCTTCCTTGGAAGCCTTTGGAGTCTTCTTCGCATTTTTCTGCACAGTTGGCTCATCATTGTCCTCATCTTCACCATTGGGTAAATGTGCCTCAATGTGGACCATGAATGTGAGCTTGGCACTCGACAAACACCTTGGGCCCAAGTTTCCTAGATAGAGGGTGTTATTAGCCAAAATGGGGTGTTTTTTTAATGAAAATCCTAGTTATGTACCCTCATCATCATTCCTGACTACTTCGGCTTGGTTTGTGGCTGATCTCGAGGCTTGAGCTGGTGGAAAAAAATTGATGGACTGAAATCGACTTCCGGGGGCTCATAGTTGACAGATGACTGCCAAATAAAAAAAAAAAAGAAAAAGAAAAAGAAAAAGAAAAGACTTAAATATTTATGTAGGCCAGAGCGCAGCTTCAAAACGACAAAAAATTATTCTCTGGTCCTCCATTTACGGTACAGGAAAGGTGATTAAAAAGAATAATAAAAAACATTTGTCCAAGTATGGTCTCATTTTAGTTGAAACCGAGCGTTTTCCCCAGATTAACAAAAATTTTCCGGCCTGGGACTTTGATTACAAGAGACTTTTAACTTCAATACATAAGTACTTATCTCGACGTGAGAGTTGAAAGTTGGAATTAGAAAAATAATCAACTTTGTGTATCCCTAAATAATCTAGATTTAGAGCAAATTTCCAAAAAAATTTGACGTTATCATATTACATAAATCGTTTTCAATCAATTAAAACCTCATCAATCATTATACATATATTTAAACAAGATATCAAAAATGGAAAAGCGCTTAATTAGGGAAGATGATTGGTTATGACTAAAGAATTCTTTTTTTTTCTAATGAAAGAGAGAAAAAAAAAGATTTTTTTTAAAAAATCATATAAAGATAAGTGATTATATTTTATAATCAAAGTTTTGTATTTTCTTTCACAATGCTCAATTTAT